TATCATACTCAGCACTGTAACTTTAGTGAGTGTTCAACAGAATATTAAAATTACTCACTGCACATTTGGAAGAAGGTTTTCCTAAATAAAAGTATTCAGAGAAATAAAAGTACATTTATCTTTTATCAGTATTAGATTGGAAATAGAATAAGTATTATTAATACCTATACAAAAGAAAAAGAAACCCAAACAAGATTTAATGGAACTAAAACAAAAATGTTTTACCTGAATTTAGTTGATTTTGGTAACTTAGCCATTACATTTCTCAATCTGTATTCAAAGACCTAAACAAAAATTCTATTGATTGGAAGATGCAAAAGTTAATTTTCTTTTCTTTTTTTTTTTTTTTTGAGACAGAGTCTCGCTCTGTCGCCCAGGCTGGAGTGCAGTGGCCGGATCTCAGCTCACTGCAAGCTCCGCCTCCCGGGTTTATGCCATTCTCCTGCCTCGGACTCCCGAGTAGCTGGGACTACAGGCGCCCGCCACCTCGCCCGGCTAGTTTTTTGTATTATTTAGTAGAGATGGGGTTTCACCGTGTTAGCCAGGATGGTCTTGATCTCCTGACCTTGTGATCCGCCTGTCTCGGCCTCCCAAAGTGCTGGGATTACAGGCTTGAGCCACTGCGCCTGGCCAAAAGTTAATTTTCAAGCAAAGCAAGTGGGTGTGTGATTTATTCTACCACTATTTAAAACAAAGGTTAATAAGGAACAAATGAAAAAAATTAACCATGTTGAAACCCCAGGAGAAAACTGAATTAGAACTGTGAGTCCAGCAATGAGAAAAATGTGACAAATTGGACAAGAGGGTGTTGAATCAGTAACTCATAAAGGGAAATGCATCACTTTCACAAAGAGTTGCAGCAATAAGAGGGAGTAAGGAAAACCACCTTCAACATAATGATAAAAAAAAACTCAGTTTTACACATGCATATTCATAAACACATATTACTCATCATTGAATAGTAATACTCATTGTCATATGCTCCTTTCATATTATGAAAACTGGATATCTCATAGCAGTGAACTTTTCCTCTGCAACAAAATAGATGAATCATTTCTATAACTGAGCCTACATGCGAATGAAGTATTCCCTGTGTCCTCAGAAACATCTCCAGGGATCAATATACAGTCGTTTACTTTGTATTGTGCCTTTCCACATTCCCCCAGATTAGCCTGCACTTGCCCCACCCTATGCTAATTTTACTTTTTCAACCTGCCCAATTCAAAGAAATGGTCATCATCAAAGTCATCACACCCATATCTGAACACTTTTTTCTTTTTTTTTCTCTCTTCTGGTACTAAATTCTACACTGGACTTTTTCACCTTGACATCCTGCCCTGTGTGTCATGTAGCACCCCTTGTCCCAAAAGCCAGATGACCTGGGCCATAAGTTAAGGAGACCAGGATGTTCCTAGACACAGAGCTATCTGTTGTGCACATCCATTCTGAACCCTCTGTGCTTTAACATTGACCACTCAGACTGGCTTCTGTTTTGTTCCTCTGGGAAATCCCAGGACACTGGTGCTGAGGGAAGGAGAGGCTGAAGCAATCCTCCATGTAGTGTGTGTGGGCACCTGAGTGCATGGGTGCTCCTGTGCCTGGGTGCCTCTCTGTTGCTATGTGGAGCACGTGAGGTAGGATGAGAGCCTTGATAATTGAGGCAGCCAAACCATAAAGTTTTTTAAACTTTTATTTTAGGTTTGGGGGTACATGTGAAGGTTTGTTACTTAGGTGAATGCATGTCATGGGGATTTCTTGTACAAATTATTTCATCACTCAGGTTGTTGTGGGAATTAAGGGACAGGAGAGACCAATGGGTGGAACAGGAGGATTTTATTTAGGTGGCCACTGGCCCAGCAGATTAACATCCAAAGGCTGAGCCCTGAACAAAGACAGGGCTTGACTTTTATACATGCAGCTGAAGGGGGTTGGCCAGCTAGTGGCATGAAACCTGCAGAGTGGGCAAGCAAGCATCACAGAAGCAGAACAAAGGCAGAGTATCAAACAGCGACATGTTTTACAACTCAGGCTTATCTTGTGACCTTTGCCATACTGCACAGCTGGAAAACAGCAACTTACAAAATCCTTACAAACTTGCAGAAATAGTTACAAAAGTAGTTGTGAGAACAGCTCAAAGGATAATGGTATAGGGAAAGAATTTCAAAGGGGGAAACTGATAAGAAGAAACTGTTTTTCTTATCCTTGCTTGGGGGAGGGGGTGTTGGGAGAGTCTCTGGAGCTCATTCCTTTGGGCTCTGGCTTTTCAGATAGTGTTATCAAGGTCCTGCTAGGGCCCTGCCTATTGCAAGCCTTGGAGTGAGTCAGTCAAGTATAGGAAAACTTGTTTTTCTCTTTAACTTCTGCTTCAAGGTATTAAAAGCCCAATACTCAATTGTTATCTTTTCTGCTTGTCTCCCTCCTCCTTCCCTGTACCCTCAAGTAGACCCCAGTGTCTGTTCTTTGCTTCTTTGTGTTCATGAATTCTCAACATTTAGCTCACACTTACAACTGAAAACGTGGTATTTGGATGTCTGTTCCTGGTCAGTTTGCTAAGGTAATGGTCTCCAGCTTCTACCTGCAAAGGATATGATCTCATTAGTTTGTCAAGGCTGCGTAGTATTCCGTGGTATATATGGACCACATTTTATTTATCCAGTCTGTCCTTGATGGGCATTTAGGTTGACTCCATGTCTTTGCTATTGTGAATAGGGCTGCAATGAACATTCACTTGCACGTGTCTTTGCAGTAGAATTATTTATCAAACCACTCTTCTCCACAGACATTCTTGTCTCACAAGGAATTCTACAAGTCCTTGGAATCGACAGGATTTAGACAAGCCTGTCTTACCACACCCCAGAACAATGGGGAAAGTAGGGATGCACTCTTACCTGCTTAGAGTTGCAGTTGAAGGTTCAGAAGGGGCTGGAGTTCCTTTCACAATGAGGAAAGTCCATGGTAACTCCATGCAAAGGCAAAGTTGGCTGGGCATGGTGAATGTTGTGTTTATTTTGTTTTCTTTGGGGAGGGTAATTTTTATTCAGAGTGACAAGCAAATGAAAGGTGCTTCGCCTTCAAAGAAAGACCCGCCTGCTTAAAATGTTGTATTACTATAACTTGCAGACTTCTGTCCCTGCCTTTGGATATTTTCCTTGTTTTTCCTCCTGTCCCACTGTTGATACAATCAGTTCTTTTTTTCTTTTGAGGAAATTAAAAAATTAAACAGAGTTGGGTTGGCAGAAGATATTTTCATGTGTCACTTGGAACAGATTAACACATATCAGCTTCCCTGAATATCTCAAATTTCACATAGCTCAAGCCCATCCTCAAAACTCTCCTTTAAATGACAAACGACTCCCTCCTTTCTTATTCCTGATCTCAGGAGCGCTGGGCCCTTCACGAGGGACTGGTTATACTTACGCCATCTGCTGGTTGTTAGTGGGACTGCACTTGCTGCTGTAAGCCCCAGTACCATGGTTCTGTGCCCAAGTCCTCCTAGAAAACGGAGGCCTTGGTATTGGTGGACTAATTGAAGAAATACAGATATGCCATTCATCATTTAGGACACCAAGAGGGCCACCTGAGATGTTAGCTTTACTTTTAGGGGTATTTCTTAGAAGATGATACGTTTCATATTTTGGCTCTCCAATTCTTTATGCTGAATCTAAGGAAATATTGTTGAGTTCAGCTTCAAAAACAGCCCAGGTGAGGTTATAAATGCTGATGCGGAAATGTCAGAGTATGTGGTCAGTGTGACAACAATCTGGATAACCTGAAAATGTTCATGCTGCAAATGTTTAGAAAGGCTGTATAGCATTAAAAAAAAAATGCTTTCAATCAAGGTGTGGGAAACATGTGACCAAATGCTTGCAGGTGGGAATGGAGTGGATTTGGGTTTCGGAAACATGTGAGACTAATTTTTCTTTCTTCTTTTATAGAGACAGGGTCTTACCCTGTTTCCCAGGCTGAATCATAGCTCATTGCAGCCTCAAACTCCTGAGCTCAATAAATACTCCTGCCTCAGCCTCCAGAGTAGCTGAGACTACAGGCATATGCCCCTGTGCTCAGCTAATTTCTTTAAATTTTTTGTAGAGATGGGGTCTTGCTTTGTTGCCCAGCTGGTCTCAAACTGTTGGCTGCAAACAATCCTCCCTCTTTATCCTCTGAAAGTAGTGGGATTACCTCCCAAAGCATGGAGCCACCATGCCAGCCAGAAACCTAAATTTTCAATGTCCATTCATGGACAGAAGTTGAGGTCTTGGAACCATACAAAGCAAGAGTGAGAAGTGAGATTTCCTTCATTAGGACAGAACACTGAAGGTAAGACCAGAAAATTACTTGCATATTAGCACAGGATTGTAACAGGTAAGCCTATCCCCTTCTGCCTGGTTTAGGTGTGAAGGCAGGAATCTCCTTAAGAATGCATTAGTGCAGCCCTTTTCCAGACACAAAGTTAGGGCTCAGATTTTCACTTCCTTCTTTGTTCAGGAATTCCCTAGCTAAGAAATTAACTTGCAAATTTTCCCAGACAAATAAGCCTCTTTGGAATCTTAGCAGAAGCAAATATAAAACCTGGTATGTAAAAATATACCTGGACACAATATATTCCACTTAAGAGTCAGCAGGAACAAAATAAATAGAATTAGAACCTCAGTAACCTGGGTTAATAAGAAGCCAATCTGAAAGAGAATATAAAATAAATGTTTAACATGATGAAAGACATAGGCAAAAAACAGATATGATATGGTTTGTCTCTCTGTCCCTACCCAAATCTCACCTTGAATCGTAATTATCCCCACATGTCAAGGGTGGGACCAGGTAGAGATAACTGGAATCATGGGGGTGGTTTCCCCCATTCTGTTCTCCTGATAGTGAGTGAGTTCTCACAGGACCTGATGGTTTTATAAGGGACTTTCCTCTTTGCTTGACACTCATTCTCTCTCCTGCTACCCTGTGAAGACATGCCTTTTGCCATGATTGTAAGTTTCCTGAGACCTCTCCGGCCATGCAGAACTGTGAGTCTGTTAAGCCTCTTTTCTTTATAAATTACCCAGTCTTGGGTATGTCTTCATAGCAGCATGAGAAAGTAGTAATATAAGATACTGGTAAAAACCAATATTTTTGAAAAATGAAATACAGTCATTGAAATTAAAAACTCAGTTGGCAGTTTAAATAAGAAAAGAGATATGACTAAAGAAAAAATTAGTGAATTGAAAGACGAATATGAGGAAATTACTAATAATGCAGTGTATAGAGACAGAACTGGAAAATATGAGAGGATAACTTTCATATGTGTTTCATAAATATCCCATAAAAACATTAAAATAAATAAGGAAGAGACAAATTTTAAGGAAATAATTGCTGAGTTTTTCAGAAGTCTTTAAAGACAGATCCCTCAGATTCAAGGAGTATACTGAGTCATGAGCAGGAAGATATGAATTTAAATCCATACCTGAACACATTACAGTGAATCACAGAATATTAAAGATAAAATATTAAAAACTACCAGAGAGCAAAGCAGATCAACTCCAAAAGAAAAATCAGTGCACAGAAAAGTTCTTAAAAACAGTTATAGAGATCAGAAGATAATGAATTAATGAAGTTAAATTGCTGAGGGAAAAATACCAATATAAAAGTATATATATAACGAAGCTGTTATTCAAGAATAAGGATGAAATAATAACATCTTAATTCATAGAAAACCTGAATAAGAACCATAAACTTAAAAAGTATGCATTTTAGCAAAAAATAAACCTACAGAGGAAAATATATATCACAAGAAATAGTAGTAAATAATTATTAAACACGTGTAAATCTAACAAGATTTGATTATGTAAAATAACTACAATTGACTTAGAGACCATTAAAAAGTTCCAAGTAAGTAAAAAATATTAAAATGAGGTTTAACTAAACTATTAGATAGCTACATCACAGAAGGTGGGAGAGAATGATTGGACTTACAGCAAGTCTACTTGTTTGCATAGTTCATGAGAATAGTTAAAATATTCATTGAGATTAGAATGAAGATATGCATGCACCTAAATATTAACATGTTATTAGTGAAAGACAAGAAGTACAGTATATAATCTACAAATGCTTAGAGAGGAAAGGGGGGGCATTAAAAAACTTAATTCCTAAAAGAGAAAAAACAAGGAGAGGCAAAGAAAAGAAGCAAAACCAAGCAAAACAGGACGAAAAACAATGAATGGTAGGGTATAAAACTCAAAATTACACAATAGGAATTGAATTTTTAAATGACTAATTACAACAAGCTAATTTAATTTGTTAATTAAAAGACCAGGATTTTAAAATTGAATTTCTAAAAATTCAATTATATGTTGTTTAAACTAAAAAAAGGTAAAGATATAGAAGAAACTAACCAGAAGAAAACTGGTATAGCCATTATTACTGTCAGATAAAATAGATTTTAAGGTTAAAAATAATTATTAGAGATAAAGAGGGTCACTACATCATGGAAGAAGAATGATTTAAGAAAGATATATGAAATTCTAAAATTATGTATATTAAACTATGTAACCTAAAAATAAATACAGCAAAAAATGAGAGAATTATCAGGTGAAACAGAAAAATCTACAATGAGAATTAACGTTTTAATGCATTTATCTCAGAAATTAACAAATCAAATAGAAAAATTATTATATGTATATAATTTTTAAATGAGAAAATCCACACGATTGATTATATACTAGTTAGAATCTATGAAATCCTTATTTCATAATCAGAGAACATACATTGTTTTTACACATCCATGGGAAATTTATAAACATTGACCTCAATATGCAATGAAGCAAATTTTTAAAGTATCAAATAGCATACATAGTGAGATTATGTTCTTTTAACACAATATTTTTAATATTGAAAGTAACAATTTTAAGTTAATTCTAAATGTATATGTTTTAAAACATTTGGAACATTAAAGACACACTTTTAAGTATAAACAGAAATCATAGAACAGGGCAAAATTGAAGACTGTTAGAAATGAATGAAAATAAAAATACTATACCACAAAATGTTGCACTTACTAAGTCAGTACTTAAAAACACACATTAAAATCATCTTCAAGAAATTATGAAATAATTCAGAAAACTCTCTTTGGGAAATTATAAAATAAACAAACAAATAAAATATTTACAAAAATCACACAATTTATGTTAACAAAAAATTGGACATAGTTAAACTATGGTATATTCAGGTGATGAAATATGATGTAGCTATTAAAAATGATGTTTTAGGGTCATATAGAAAATTCTTGATACAGTTTCAAAGAGAAAAAAGCAATATACAAAATGATATACACATGTCATGGTGCCAGGTTTATAAAATATTTAATAAATGTAAATATTAAATATTCATTGTAAGGAAATAAATCTTAACATAAATGGTGATTTTCACCAGGTGGATGATTGGGTGATTTTTAAAATACAATTTTAGTTTTACAAACAGCAAAATGAGCAAGTATTAATTTCTAGTAAAAAGCGAAAATTGTCCATATGCAAGTATGAAATGTGAAATTATCAGGACATTAAGGAGTCAAGCAAAAGTTCGAGACATATGCAGGTGCACAGTGCCACCTCTTTGGCTTTTCAATGGTAAGTCCTTTTAGGTCACCTCAAAGTTCAATAAATAAAAGCTAAACTTGCTTGAGGAAAAATGAATTACACGTTTAATATGTGCAAAGGACTTGGACATGCTTGTATTTGTGAACCATTCACTTTCTGTGGTGGTGTGGGGATTTTATTATCCCAGATTAGGAAAAAGATAACTTAGTAAGTTATGTGATTCATTCGAGATTACACAGACTGCAAGCCACTGAGCTGGGACCAGCCTCAGAGTTGAGCCTTTTCTAAGACACCATAGAACCTGTAAATAACAGGGATCAGACCCACCTGGGCCCTTAATCCTATGGGAGTGGTTTCCATTCATAACTGACAGTGGCCAAGGGCACAGCTCAAACCAACCAGACATGAGGCCTATTCGTGCATGTGCAGGGCCCTTCTCACTTTGCAACCACGCTGGCTGCGTGCCCCATCATAATGGGGCTTCTGATGTTGTTTAATGCAAATCTTCCACTTTGGACCCCAAACTTTGGTGCCTGGATTTGTAGAACAGCTTTTGCTTTTTGTTGGAGTCTAAGGATGTCTTAGGGTACTGCCAGCACACACAGTGACTCTCCACACCCTGCTCCCTTTTGGCCACCTGCCCCACTAAGGTCCCCTTTGTCCCAGCTATGATATGAGAGGATTCAAGGCTCAGTGATTTTCTAATCATCACCAAGGTTTTGATTGCTTCCAAGAGTTGGAAGGTCTGGAGGAACAATGGCTAAATATTCTTTCCAGTTAAATTTAGGGTGTACCCAGGTCCGCCTCCCCTCATCAACATCTGTACATGCGCAAAAGCTGGCACACACATACACAAACACACACACACACACACACACACACACACACACACACACAGAGAGAGAGAGACTGAATAAGAAGCTTCATACTACTTGGCAGCCAGAATAAATGAGCGTGACTTCCCCAGAATGAGTCCTTCCAGTACACCTAAGAGTGTTTCAAGTAAAGAGAGCTCGCTTAAAGTGAGGGCATCACATTCCAATTTGTCCCCTTGAACACAAATCTAACTCACTGATCTGGGGTTGTGTTTCCTAATATTTGGACAATAGTAAGCACACAGTTGCATATTAGATTCCTAAGCCTAATCTCTGTCGTTTAATGTCTTGCTGACCAAACCTGTTTTATCAATGCCCTGAGGCAGTGAGAACACCCCCACTCTTCTCCCCACAATCAGGAGATTGAGCTGTTGTCCTGTGGCATCAAAGGCAGTCCACTGTGGCATCATTACAGGTGTGATGCTGGAAAGAGCCGGTGGCTTTATCAACTGGTTCCTTCTGGAAAAGACTTTGAATGAGAGTATGCAACATTCTCGGACACAAAAAGTAAACATCATGAGAAATAGATTAGATACCTTACGACAGGTGATACATTTTAGCTTCCACTGAGAGCTAATAGTCATGTTCCTTTTGAGTCTCCTCTCAGGTGACAAGTAAATAATTCTTCACTTGTAAAAACAAATAATTTTTATAAATTATGGAACCCCATGGATATTTGCTGTTATCACTATTATCATTCACATAGATGAAGATATTTCTACAGGAAGTGAGCCCTTGGATCATTCAATATTTGAATTTAAACCTTTTATTGGTCATGACCTAGAGACAAAGTCTAAAAATATTTCCAGAGAATGAGTATAATTTATTTCTAAGCTCAGACATAACAAGGCAAATTATCAAGAAGTGTTTAATAAAAGCCACATCACAGAGAAATCTGGTGACATTTGACTCTGCAAGACCATTTGGGGCCTGCCTGTCAATTTCCTAGCTTGTTGCTTTGCATCCCAGCTCAGCATCTGGGGTAAGCTTTAACTTCTTTATGGCCCTGCTGCGATTTGGTCCCTCTACCAGATCCCTCTGGGTCACTGAGTAGGTGCCGGGCCTCTTGAGGGGCTGTGAGAAGACTGATGAGAGGCATTAGCTCAGCCTCTCAGAGCAAAGTGGAGCTACAGGCATGGCCATCGGCAAGCATGCTGTCCCCAGCCACCAAGGGACACAGCAGCAAGCCTCAGACAGACCTGAGGAGAAGAGAGGGCATGACAGGCTGAATGGTGCCCCCCAAAAGATGGTGAAGTCCTAATCTCCAGTACCTGTGAATAAGATCTTGTTTGGAAATAGTCTTTGCAAATGATCAACTTAAAATAAGGTCATTAGGGTGGGAAGTAATCTAATATTACTACTATCCTTATAAGAGGAGGAAATTTGGACACAGAGCTGGACACATGGAGGGAAGATGATTTCAAGGCATAGGAAGAAGATGACCACCTTCAAGCCAAGGAATACCCAAGGCTGCCAGAAGCCAGAAAAGAGGCCAGGAACAGATTCTTCTTCATCACTGTCAGAAGGAACCAACCCTGCTAGCACCTTGATCTCGGACTTCAAGCCTCAGAACTGAGTGACAATGAGTGTCCATTATCTGAGACAGTCAGTGTCCTTTGTCACAGCAACCCCAGGGAACTCAGGTAGGAGGCAGGTGCTTCCCCCACCATAGCTCTATGGTCTGCTAGGTGGGACCCGCTGTGTTGCTCTCAGGGGCTACTTAAAAACAGCTGGTCCTGGGCCACTCTGCTGGGGCTCCGGCCTGAATGAAGGACAGAACTCCAGGGTGAGTGGATGGATTTAATTTGTGCCATGTAAATTTCTGTGTAGGTGATCAGAAGGGGACACAAATATCTAGATATTTGTTTTTCTCTTTCTACAGTATATTTATACAAAGTACACAATTACTATACCCTCTCCAACAAAGCACTTAATAGATGACCACTCCAGAAAAAGCGAAGTTTGTCCTTGGCCCTGTCCAGACTCCTCTTTCAGTCTGTTAGCGATGGTCACTGAATTCCCCCTAGAGATTAGTGAGGAACTCCCCTGCTCTCAAGGAAGGATTCATAAGTGCATTCGCTTCAGAGTGTAAATTGTTGGTTCTCAAATTCTAATGTTGACAGGAATTTCCTGGAATGTTTGCCAAAATGAAGACTCCCAGAGCCTCCACAGATCTACAGAATCAGAATCTTTCATGATGGGACTCAGAATTCTTCAATCAATCATCCACCCTCCTCCTCCCTACCCCAGAATACTGATGCAGACAGCCTGGCCACCCTTTTTGGAGAAACACTATTGCAGATGACCGATTAAAGTGTATGGCTTTACTTCTCTTACGTATGCATTTTGGGAAGCAATACAATTTCTGCAGGTTAAAGCCAAAGGAAAGATGATCTAGCTGTGAAATATTAGACTTTGTTGAGCTGGATGGTGGAGACTCCTCCTCAATTAGCTCTTCAGCCTAGGCTGGGCTCTTTCCTTCAGTAAATGGCAAGTTGCTGGGTCAGGGATGCTTCTCCGTCCTTTAACCCATGGGCCTTTCTCATGCCCAAGTATATGGTACGGTCCCCTACAGTGGTGACTGCTAGTCTGGATCAGGTGGCAAAATGGGGAGCCATGACACTCTGTGAAGTATGATATAAAATATTGATATATTTAACTCCACTTAGAAAGCCATGCTGGGGGAAAATATGACTTTATTATTATATGTATGCAATGTAAAATGACAACCAAGAGAATATATGGAAAACAAGCTGTCATGTCAAACATGAGTGACTATTTCTGAACAGATCTATGGCTCATCTTTTGCACATGGTGACTCATTTTCTCACAGGCCAGCAAGGAACAACAGGTGCCCAAACTGTGCATGAAATTTAAGAAAGGAAATTTTAAAGAGAAAAATTGAGATCCATTGATTTTATTTTTCTGTACATTGATAAATTTATATCTAGTGAAAGGACATCTCATACCCATTACAGACTTGGAAAGGGGATTAGTTTTGCTTTAGTAAACCTACTTCTTCAAGACTTGAAATTTTGTCCAAGGAGTCCCTAAATGGATGTTGTTCTTCTGTGTGTGGGTGTGTGTGCATGTGGGGTTGTATATAAAAAATTGCCGTCAAGTTTTTTCCAGTGACATAGAGTATTTTAAGGTTGCTATTTCAAGTTGGGCAAAGAAATTCTTAGGCATGTGGTAAGCAGGCATGTTTAAATGATATAAAATTAAAATTTTAAAGAGGACATAGCATCTTTCATTTATATGTACAGCTTCATACATTTCATTAATATTATTTTGATATGCTTTCTATATTATAATTTTGTAGTTTTTATTTTATGTATATATGTATATTATATTTATCTACAATGCAGTTTACATTTTATATTTATATGCTACATATTTGATAGTAAAACAAATGTGGATATGTTTTGGAGTGGATTACAAGATTCAAATAAATGTTTCAGATAAAACTCTAGATTTTAAAGAAATATAATGTTTGCAATGAGTGTCCTAGGGAGATAGCCATTCACATACTACAATTAAAAATATATGATTAAATTAAGTCAAAAAGCAACAGGACAAATATGAATAGGCCATAAATACAATTTTTAAGAAAACATATATACATCAGAAAATGATTATTTTGTGGTATAATTGTATAATTTTTTCTTCTTCATGCCATATTTTTATTGTCCACATTTTCCACAAAGAATATGTATATTACTTATATAATCAGAGAAAAATATGATTCTCTGCCAAATTTTCCATGTAGTTTCGTATTACTGTGTTTAATTACATTTGTACATTCATTTTCTACATGATGTTAGAAGCTCCTGGTAAAACCATAAACAGAGCTTTTCAGGTTTCAACAACTCCTCTTGCTAAGGGAAAGCCGTATTTTTTAATCTTCAAGACTGTTATTATGTTCCTACTTAAAATCTGGCTCTTAAATTTTGTTCCCATTATTACCACCAAAAACTCCTCTAGCTAAAAGAACATCGTATATGCATGACTCTTTCATTATATAGTAAGTGCTTGATGTTAATTCCAAGGAACTTTTCAAGACAGTCTTGGAAATATTTGCTCTAGTGTTTTGAAATAACAAAATGATCCTTCTTAAGCCTTTTGCATGGTGAGACAGGACAGCAGAGTTCAAGGAGATGTGTCTCTTGGCAAGGTTTGAAATGCAAGCTCACCAAAAGTATAAAGAGTAGTTAGTAAATTAAAATCCCCCGAAATCCTGATGCCTGCTTGTCTTGCAGGTGCCAGGTCCCAATTCTCTGCACCCAGGGAACTTGCTAGAAGCTGTGGCAGTGGCCACATTTGACTGAACTCTTATAAGGAAGGTGCAAACAAGAATAGCCCCCTATTTTAGGAAAGATTGTTAAAAGAAACTGGAAAAACAAATTCTTTTTTACCTCCTCTTGGGACTTTCATTAAAAGTGTTTATTCTTGGATGAAGGGGATTACGGGAAAAGGTATTTCAGATGTTGGTTCACGGCTGGATCCTGAGATGCCGGCTCTCAACGCGTGATGAAATACTTGTATAATGTGCACTTTTGTAAGAGCTGTTTAATCTCCCCTAGTTAGAGATTTTGCTAACTAAAAACAGGCTTCTTTATTGGTATTCTTGAGTATTGTTTTGACAGTCTTTGCTTAACATTTTTTCCCTCTAAATTATTTTAGCATGATTGTTCTCAGCAGTGCTTTACAGGATGAGAGAGATGACATGAGTTTCTCTTGTTCAGATAGCATGAATTCAAGCACAAATGGGGGGTGAGTTTCCAGGAGGTGAAGAGCTGGAGACCAAGCATTGTCCTGCTTTGCAGGAGAGGACAGACCACCCCTTTATCTCTGGGCACTGATTCATACAGTACCCCTGCATGCACTCTCCATTGCAATGTGGCTAGACAGTATGCTGGCACACTGGCCTGAAGTTTACAGCAACATCAGCACTGCCACTGTGATCTAGGACTGATCCTTTGACAAAATTAGAATCTCCCAGGAAGGTGATGAGAAGGAGCCAACTACCACTGAATAACATAAGAGGCTTCATGCAGGGTACATAATCTACATCATTTCTTCAATCCTCTCAACTTGACTTTGAGGTTCACACTACAGGTTGTATTAGTGCATTCTTATACTGATATAAAAATACTACCCAAGACTGGGTAATTTATAAAGGAAAGAAGTTTAATTGACTCACAGTTCCACATGGCTGGGGAGGCCTCAGGAAACTTACAATCATGGCAGAAAACAAAGGGGAAGCAAGGCACATCTCACAAGGCAGCAAGAGAGAAAGATAATGAGAGAGCAAGGAAATGCCGCACTTTTAAAACCATCAGGTCTCATGAGAACACACTCACTATCATGAGAACAGCAAAGGGGAAATCTGCCTCCATGATCCAATTACGTCCCACCAGGTCCCTCCCTGGACACGTGGGGATTATAATTTGAGATGAGATTTGGGTGCGGACACAGAGCCAAACAATATCACAGGCGAATAAACCAAGGCTCAGAGAGGTTAAGGAAATTACCCAAGTTCATCAGGTTACTAGGTGGCAGAAATGGAATTCAACCCAGAATGTCTTGCTGTAAAGCCTGAGCTATTTTCCATATAGTATGCCATCTTATTGTTGTTGTTGTTTTTTTAACTTGCCTTTTAAATAGAAATAGAAGGAAACTGGAAAAAAAAGTAAACAGATGAGAAAGTAGCTCATTGGGCAAAATGGTTAGTTGGTTTTGTTTCATGTAAAGATCTACTTCTGATGTGTTCTCTTTGTGCTTTTACAGATAAGAGTCTTACAATGGTATGAACAAATTGATCATGCTTGTGCCCAGACTATGAGCCAGTCCAAGAACAAAAGCAGTATGATTGTCTCCTTTTCTGTCTGTAATAATGGCAGGATGATCTGCCCAATCCATACCTCATGGAGTATTGAAAAGCTCTGCTGAGACTTAGCATGAAACCAGAGGTTTGTCGATTACCAAGTTCCAGATTATGGCTATCATCACTATTTTTTCATAAAGTCTGACCTTTGTAAAGGTGCAATGAGAAAGGCAGCCAGAATTTCTTCACAATTTGAAAGTGAAGGATATCATTAAATTGGTTCCTTTAGGCAAGTGGTCCTAATTGATCAGGACTCAAAATATACAGTCGGGATTTTTTCAGTTGATCAAATATGCAAGTAATTAATTTTTATTTATCTTAAAGCCAAAATAACTGAATGAGGTTGAACAGAAAAAAATTCAGTGATTCTGAGTTACATGACAAGCCACAGTCCTCCATGAGAATTGGAGAGTCTGTGAGCAGGCTCTTGACTTACCCTTTAGGATGGTACCTTAGTCCCAGCAAATCTTTCCTCTGTAGGATCTTGGATAGAATCCACATGAGGGACACATCATATGTTTAACAGGTGTGGGTCCTGGGAGCCAAGTAAGGGTATGGAAGGATCCTGCTTGTCTCTGTGAGACACAGAATAAAGAAAAAGGAATTTGAACAAGAGACAGAATTCTAAGATGTGGGTGGAGAGAAGGAGCTCTGTTCAAAGAGAAAATTTTGAATCCAGGAGAAATAAAACTAAAATAGGGGTTTTCAAATAATCCAGAGATACTCCATGGAAATTGATTGAGGCAGTGAAGACTGGTGTAGTCGGTTGGGTAATGGCCCCTAAAAGTTCATGTTCATCTGGAATCTCAGAATGTAACCTTATTTGGAAATATATCTTTGCAGATGCAATTAGTTAAGGATGGAGATTAGAGGGTACTGGATTGCGATTGGCCCTAAATTCATGACTGGTGTCTGTAGAGTAGAGAATACAGAGAAGCACACAGAGAAGGCAGCCATGGGAAGATGGGGGCAGAGAATGGAGGGGTGCAGCCACAAGCCAAGGAATGACAGGACTGCTTACAGCAACCAGAAGCTGGAAGGAGCAAAGAAACACCTTTTCCTAGAGACTTCAGATGGAGTATGGCCCGGCTAGCACCTTGATCTGGGACTTTAGGTCTAGAGGACTATAAAAGAATAAATTTCTGTTGTCTTAAGCTACCAGGTTTATGAACATTTAAAGAGAGAGCTTTTCATGGAAGCCAGCAGAGAACATAGGAGCCAGAAGCTCTTTACACTCGGAGTCTGTTCAGACATCATACTGGCCAGAAAGAAGACTGCAGGAGGATCAGAAGGGTTGAAGGACTTCATTGGAGAAGGACATCCACCAGTAATATGTTCTCCATACTCCCTGAAATGTCCTAGAGGAGCCTCTCAGACATAGGTAGGCTCAAGGAAGGTTTAGAACTCGAAGGTGTTTTATGATGGTTTTACCTGTTTTCACATTAAGTACCCAACCAGAAAATGAGAAGATACCTACCATGAGCCATACATAGCTTGACCACGATGTCAGGAAGGGATCATGGTTGAAGACTTTTAGCAACTCTTTATTTTGAAATAAGTTGAAGTTATTAAACCCATTGACACTAAATTTTGGCATTTTCTGACCAGAATACAATGATAAAAATTGCAATTTAACAGTGACACAATCCTTACCTAATATATTGTACATATTTAAATTGTGTGAGTCTTCCAAATAATTTCATCTGTAACTAGTTTTCTGCTGGAACAGAGTAGAATCCAGCATCATGTACTACATTTGGCTCTCCCATCCCCTGGGTCTCCTTAATTCCAAAATGATTCTTCAGCCTTTTCCACGTTTTATTGACCTTTATCGTTTTGAAGAATATGGGCCGTTATCTTGTAGTATGCCCTTCAACTTGGGGTTCTCAGCTATTTCTTCATAGATTCAGGTTATGCACTATTGGCAGAAAATCATAGAAATAATGTTGTGTTCTTTTCAGTGTATCATATCAGGAGGTACATGTTGTTGGCTTATCCTAATATTTTTATGTTAACTTTTACCATTTTATCATTTGATTAAAAGGGTGTTCACTCTGTATCTCCCTATTAAATTACTATGTTTCTCTATGCTTAGAAATCTAGAAGGAATTTCCCACCATGTGCAGAAATATGAACTACACACAGCAGATTTGCAACCTCTACAAGAAGATGGTAGAAGACATGAACAATGAATTGGAGAGAACCACTTCCTTTTATCAAAGAATATTTTCTTCTATGAGGAAGAGCTCAAGAAAGCTGGGCAGCAGTTCTGCTGACTGAGATAAAGCTCCATGAGCTAAGACAAGAAAATGATGGCAACAGGTAAATCATGGCTGACGTGGAGTTCAAGTTCCAGCCTTTCCCAAGCATCCCTTTTGCTCCTGCTGCTCCAGGAGCAGCCCACAGAGGCCTGGAAGTACTAGAGGTCCTCTGGGTCATCAGGTTCCCAGCAAGGAGGAGGCAGGTGCTGTGAGGCTCAGGGATCCAGGGGTGCCTGCAGGTTCCACTCAGAGTTTTGATTTGTTTGTTTTTGTCCTTAAAAGTAATTTTCATTTATCTTCTAGTTAAGCTACTGTTATTTAATTGATGTGCAATTTCTCTTTCTAAAGTTTTATAACATTATAATTTCTAAAATTGTATTTTTAAATATACATTTATTTAAAATAGCTCTTATGAATACATTATTTCCAAATCATTGGACCCTCTAAAATTATATGCATGCATATTATATTTTGATTTAAATAAAAGGTTCACTATTATTTAAACTATCATAAAAACTGGACATGAATAGAAACATGGAAAACAATAAAGTTCATTTCTCTAAGCTATTATTATAAATCTGTACAAGTAATGTAATATTTAGCTGGATAAATTTTGACTGGTTTTTAAAAAACAATGCCAAAAATTACTAGACAACAACAACACACCATTGAAACATCATACTATTTTTATTAGATTAGTTCTAAGTTCATAGACAAATTTAGGGGAGTTGAAATTTTACAACAATTTGTTTCTTGTCTTGTTTTCTGAACCTTTGATGTTTTCTAAAAGATACTGTTTGTTCTTTAAATGTTTCTGAATTTTAGCAGCCAAAATAAAAGTTTTCCTTTGATGGCAAACTCACACACACATATTCTCACACAGACACACACATGGGACTAGCTTGAAGGTGACACACAGTGGCATGGCTCTGCACGTGCATGGCTCTGCACGGAAAGGGATCCCATAACCAGACTCAGCAGAGAAGACTCTGACAGGAAGTAGAGGGTATGCTGACTGTGAAGAGCTGAGGCGGAGGCTGGTGCAGGGGTATGATGTTTCTGTCTGGAGCCCAGGAAGCAGGGAGGAGGAGCTCCACATCAGTGCACACTGGTGTGCATCTGCGGGGGACCCCTGCACAATCTGCATGATCAACCCCAACCTGGGTCCATGTGAGCTGTCTGCTAAAAAGGTATGAATTGCATACACAGTACTTGTATTAACAAAATCAAAAATATTTAAAGTATATATAAGAAAAGACAACATGGAAGAAGAGAGAGCAGAGTACAGGAGAGAGGGAAAGGAGGGGGAGAGGAGGGGAGGAGAGAAGAGAGAAGGGGAGAGAGGAGTGGAGGAGGAGAGACGAGGGGAGGGCAGAGGGGAGGGGAGAGGAGAGGGGAGGACAGGAGGGTAGGAGGGGAGAGGGGAGAGGAGGGGAGGAGCAAAAAGGAGAGAGGGGAGAGGGGAGGGGAGGAAGGGAGAGAAGGGGAGAGAGGGAGGGAGGGAAGGGAAGGAGGAGGGAAAGGGGAGGGAAGGGAGGGGAGGAAGGGGAGGGAAGAGAGGGAGGAAGGGAGAGAGGAAGATGGGGGTGGGAGGGAGGAGAAGAGAGGAGGAGGAGAGAAAGAGGAGAGGAGAAAGAGAGGAGGGAGAAAGGAGGAGAGGAGGAGAAGAGGGAGGGAGCAGGAGGAGGAAGGGGAGGGGAGAAGGGCAGGGAGGGGGAGGGGGTGGAGGGGAAAGGGAGGGGCGGGGGGAAAGAAGAGGAGAAGGGGAGAGGGGGAGAGAGGAGGAGAGAGAAGGGAGGGGAGGAGGGAGAAAGAGAGGGAGGGAGGGAGGGAGGAGGTGAGGGAGAGGAAGAGGGTGGAGGAAGGGAGGCGGGGGAGGGAGGGGAGGCGGAGAGAGGACAGAGGATGGGGGAGGAGGGGGGAGGAAGGAAGGCGGAGGGAAGGGGAGAGGGAGAGAGGGGAGGGAGGAGAGAGAGAGGGGAGAGGTGGGGAGGACGGAAGAGAGGGAGAGGAGAGGGAGGCAAGAAGGAGGGAGGAGATGGGGGAAGGGGGAGAGAGAGGGAAGAGAGGGAGAGGAAAGAGGGGAGGAGGTGGAGGAGAAGCCAGGGAGAAGGGTAGAGGGGAGAGGAGGGAGAGGAGAGAGAAGAGAGAAGAGAGAGAGAAGAGAAGGGAGGGGCTGGGGGAGCGAGGGGAGCAGCTCTCCTGCTTCTTCAAAATTCGGGAAAGAAGAGGAGAAGGGGAGAGGAGGGGAGGAGAGGAGGAGAGAAAGGGAAGAGGGGAGGAGGGGAGAAGAGAGGGGAAAGGAGGAGGGAGGGGAGGAGGTGAGAGAGGAAGAGGAGTGGAGGAAGGGAGAGGCAGGGAGGAGGGGAGCGGAGAGAGGACAGAGGATGGGGGAGGAGGGGAGGAAGGAAGGGCAGGAGGGAAGGGGAGAGGAGAAGGGAGGGGAGGAGGGAAGAGGAGAGGTGAGGGGAGGACGGAAGAGGAGAGAGGAAGGGAGGCAAGAAGGGAAGGGAGGAGATGAGAAGGGAGAGAAGGGAAGAAGAGAGGAGAGAGGAGAAAAGAGGAGAGAAGTGGAGAGGAGAAGCCAGGAGAGGGGAGTAGAGGGGAGAGGAAGGGAGAGGAGAAGAGAGAAGAGAAGAGAAGGGAGAGGGGAGAAGCTGAGGGGAGCAGGGAGCAGCTCCTCTCTGCTTCTTCAAATTCTGCCTTCTAAGGAGGGAGACAGTACCTGTCCTTTGAGATTTTTGTGAAACCCTCTCTGTGTGCTTTTGCGTCTTCCTATTTCACTCGGTGAAACACCCTGGATCTTCTTGGGGTCCCTGGTTGTAACTCTGTTTTACTCATTTTCGTGCCAGGTTGGTATTCTAGGCATTATTGTTGTTTCTTCAGCCCATTTGGATCCTTTTAAAAGACCAACCAGTTGCCCTTGCAGAGTTGGGGTTCTGCTGCCCTGCAGGGGATCTGACTTCTGGGAGGGCCACTTCCACTGCCCCTCTATGTCCTGCGAGGGTCTGGAGCCCTGACACCCTTAGGACCCCAGACTGGCCCCAGCTGACAGTTCTCTTGCTTCTCTCTCAGATTGAGTTTCTGAGATTAATTGCTCTTGGCAGAGTCCAGGGCTGCACGAGGAGGCTCTGAGCCTGAGTCTGCCAGGGAAGAGGTTGAGTGGAATCCAAGCTGAGAAGGACCTGCCCCTCTGCAGATGCAGACTTCTGAAGATGACTCAGTGGATTGGAGACTGTCCCAAGGGCCACCTTGGGAAGCATGTACTGAAGACAGCAGGGCCACAGAAGGGAAAGAGCCAGGGTCAACCTGACAGCCCCAAAGCAGAGTCACGCTCACCCAGGACGCTTGGATGGAACAGGAACAGACCTGCTTTACAGAATATCCGTGAAACTGTAGACCCCATCAGTTCCACTTATTTCTTCTGGGTTCTTACACTGAAAATCCAGGTTTCTCAGCTTGTACCTTTAGGGAGACCTTTCAGTCCTCTCCCCATCTGCTGACATTGACTAAACACAAAGGAGAGAGGGGGCCTCAGAGGACGGTCCCTGGGACCTTGGTGGGCAGGACCCAGCTTCCCTGTGCAGAAGGAAACTTGAAATCAGGAGACTGAGCCTCACCCAGGGACAGGCCCCACTACTGTGCCCTGACAGGCCCTTGTGGATAGAAAGGTAAAGGGCATGGGCCCACTTGGACCCTGCGGTTTGCTGTGAGTCCAGCTGGGCCTGGTGTGGCCGAGCTCCAGGGTGCTATCAGCCATTTCTGGGTCCCTCATGACCTGGGTGGAGACTATCACCTCTAACTGCACAGTTAGCAGAGCAAAGTCAGGGACACTGTTTCTAGAACCTGGCTGGCTCCCCTCCCCCAGCACAACTGACTGTCTCTCCTGGTTGTCAGGCACTTATGAGCATTAGAGACAGAACACTCCTCAGGGTTCCAAGTGGTCAGTTGTGGCCCACAGGCCACTGGCAAGCAAAGGCAGAGCCACAGAGGGGCTGCTACTCCCCAGAATGTCTCTCCAGTCACTCTGGAGCTGCTGGGGCTCTAGTGCTGGTGAGGGCTGAGATCATGAGATAAAATTGAAACAAACAAACAAAAAATACAAAAAATAAATGAAACAAAAAGCTTTTTTTTTTTTTTTTTTAAGATAAATAAAATTGATAGACCATTAGCAAGATCAACCAAGAAGAGAGAAAATCCAATGAAATGGGAGATATTACAACTGACACCAAAGAAATACAAAAGATCATTCAAGGCTACTATGAACACCTTTATGCACACAAACTAGAAAACTTAAGAGGAGATGGATAAATTCCTGGAAAGATACAACCTTCCTAGCTTAAATCAGGAATAATTACATAACTTAAATAGAACAATAACACACAGTGAAATTGAAATGGTAATTTAAAAATTACAAAAAAAAAAAAAAAAAAAATTCCAGGACCAGATGGATTCACAGCAGAATTCTACCAGACATTCAAAGAATCGGTACCAATCTTATTGACACTATTCCACAAGATAGAGAAAGAGGGAACCTTTCCTAAATTATTCTATGAAGCCAGTATCACCCTATTACCAAAACCAGGAAAGGACATAACCAAAAAAGAAAACTACAGACCAATATTCCTGATGAACATAGATGCTAAAATCCTTAGCAAAATACTAGTGAACCAAATCTAACAACATATCAAAAAAAAAAAAAAAAAAAAAAAAAATCCACCATGATCAAGTGGGTTTTATACCAGGCATGTAGGGATGGTTTAACATATGCAAGTCAATAAATGTGAACATCACATAAACAGAATCAAAAACAAAAATCACATGATTATCTTAATAGATGCAGAAAAATCATTAGACAAAATCCAACATCATTTTATGACTAACACTCTCAGAAAAATTGGCATACAAGGCACATACCTCAATGTAATAAAAGCCATCTATGACAAACCCACAACTAACATAGTACTGAGTGGGGAAAAGTTGAAAGCATTCCCTCTGAGAACTGGAACAAGACAAGGATGCTCACTCTCACTCCTCTTCAACATAGTACTGGAAATCCTAGACAGAGCAATTAGACAAGAGAAAGAAATAAAGGGTATCCAAATGGGTAAAGAGGAAGTCAAACTGTTGCCGTTTGCTTATGGTATGATTGTTTACCTAGAAAACTCTAAACACTCCTCCAGAAAGCTCCTAGAACTGATAAAAGAATTCACCAAAGTTTCCAGATACAAAATTAGTGTACAGAAATCAGTAGCTCTTCTATACACCAACAGTAACCAAAGTGAGAATCAAATCAAGAACTCAACCCCTTTTACAATAGCTGCAAAAAACAAAACAAAAACAAAAACAAAAACAAAAAAAACTTAGGAATATACCTAACCAAGGAGGTGAAAGACTGCTACAAGGAAAAGTATAAAATACTGCTGGAAAAAATCATATATGACACAAACAAATGGAAACACATCTCATGCTCATGAATGAGTAGAATATTGGAAAAAAGACCATACTGTCAAAAGCAATCTACAAATTTAACACAATTCCCATCAAAATACCACCATCATTCTTCACAGAATTAGAAAAAACAACCCTAAAATTCATATGGAACCAAAAAAGAGCCTGCATAGCCAAAGCAAGAATAAGTAAAAAGAACAAATCTGGAGGCATCACATTACCTGATTTCAAAATATAGCATAAGGTCATAGCCACCAAAAAAGCATGATACTGGTATAAAAATAGGCACATAGACCAATGGAACAGAATAGAGAAACCAGAAATAAACCCAAATACTTACAGCCAACTAATCTTCAACAAAAGAAACAAAAACATAAAGCAGGGAAAGGACACCCTATTCAACAAATGGTGCTGGGATAATTGGCTAGCTGCAAGTAGAATAATGAAACTGGATCATCTCTCACCTTATACAAAAATCAGCTCAAGATGGATCAAGGACTTAAATCTAAGACCTGAAACCATAAAAATTATAGAAGATAATATTGGAAAACCCTGTCTAGACATTGGCTTAGGCAAGGATTTCATGATCGAGAACCCAAAAGCAAATGCAACAAAAACAAAGATAAACAGCTGGGACTTAATTAAACTAAAGAGCTTTTGTACACAAAAGGATAGACAGTAAACAGACAACCCACAGAGTGGGAGAAAATCTTCACCATCTATATAGATGACAAAGGGCTAATATCTAAAATGCACCAGGAACTCAAACAAATTATCAAGAAAAAAACACAATCTCATCCAAAAGTGGGCTAAGGACATGAATAGACAATTCTCAAAAGAAGATGTACAAATGGCCAACAAACATATGGAAAAATTCTCAACATTAAAATGACCAGGGAAATGCAAATCAAAACCACAATGTTATACCACTTTACTCCTGCAAGAATGACCATAATCAAAACATCAAAAAATAATAGATGTTGATGTGGGTGTGGTGAATAGGGAACACTTCTACACTGCTGGTGGGAATGTAAACTAGTACAACCACTGTGGAAAACAGTGTGGAGATTTCTTTAAATAACTAAAAGTAGAACTATCATTCAATCCAGCAATCCCACTACTGGGTATATACCTGCAGGAAAATAAGTTATTATATGAAAAAGATATTTGCACACACGTTTATAGCAGCACAACTCATAATTGCAAAAATGTGGAACCAACCCAAATGCTCATAAATCAACGAGTGGATAAAGAAACTGTGATATATGTATATGTGTGTCTGTGTGTGTGTGTGTGTGTGTGTGTGTGTGTGTGTGTATGAAGTAATACTACTCATCCATAGAAAGGAATTAATTAATGGTATTCACAATGACCTGGATGAGACTGGAGACTATTATTCTAAGTGAAGTAACTCAGGAATGGAAAACCAAACATCGCATGTTTTCACTCATAAGGGGGAGCTAAGCTGTGAGGATGTGAAGGCATAAGAATGACACAGTGAACTTTGGGGAGTTGTGGGGAAAAGGGCGGGAAGGGGTGAGGGATAAAAGACCACAAATTGGGTGCAGTGTATAATGCTCGGGTGACAGGCACACCAAAATCTCACAAATCACCACTAAAGAACATACTCATGTAACCAAATACCACCTGTTCCCCAATAACCTATGGAAATAAAAAAACCCGATGGAAATAACCTATGGAAATAAAAATATATAAATAAATAGATATAAATACATAAATATATAAATAAAATATATATAGATTTATAAATATATAAATAAAAAATATATAAATTATAAATACATACATAAAAATAAAAATTAGATTCAATTTAAATTAAAAATTAAAATTAAAAAATTAAAAAAATAAAAATAAACCTTTGTTGTTATGTTTAAGATAGTGTTTGTTGTTTAAATTTAGGTAAATTTTATTCAAATAAGTTTTCCCCTGATGGCAAACACATACAGAAATCACAATGCAGATACAAGCAACTTTCAGTTGTTATTTCAGCACCTGAGGAAAATGTAAAATTAAGAGGCACAGATTGTTTTAACATTGTTTAAATAAATAAAAGGGAAAAAAGAAAAATATGTACACACACATTTTATACTTACACAAAAGATTCCTAAATTATATACACACAAGAGGAGAGTTGCTTATGTGTGGGATAAGATTCCACTAAGAAACAGTTCATCCCAAATTGTGCAGAGGAAGAGGCTTTAATGACAGAACTTTCCTGAGCTGTGGGCAGGGATAAGGGTCCAGACAAGGGAAGGGGAGGCTCCCAGAGGACAGCAATAGTAGGGGAAGGTCGTTCCCACCCCAGGTTTCAAGGAAGGAGAGATGAAATGGTATCATTTGGGCCCAGTGAGGCTCTGTTAAGGGAAAAGGGAAAACTGTCCCCACTTTCTGCTCTCGTCCTCCCATTGGCTGCTGGTGTATGGGCAGTCTTCTGCAAGGGGGCCTGGGCAGTGCAGGCCAGAGTCAGTCTCCTGGGCACAGAGCAGGCGAAGAACGAATCTGGAGAATGACCAGCACTCAGGTTTATTTGACTGAAAGTGCGTGTTTCATTGTATTCATTCACATTCATTTGTATACCTCATAGTGTTGTGAAGATTCACTGAGTAAAACATGTAAAAGTAGAGAATAGTGTCTGGCATTTAAGAAGTGCTTAAAGATGCCATCTCTTACAGCTGTTTGTGTGTGTCCATAATAAAATATCCCTGATAATTTGAACATCCTGAAATGAACAATTCAAAGCCCTAATGGGCATCTGCTTATCCAATAGAGTCCGAAGCCTCACACCAAAGAGGGAAATAAGGAACTGCTCAGGGAACAGAAGGAATGTGCAGTGACAGCTGGTGCCCACTCCTAAAACTGTGCTGCACTGAAGGCTCCAGGTTATTTCCCAAATCAGGGCTTCGGGGTCTTGCTGCCTACCATTCTCCTATTGGTACCCATCAAACATAGGATGACTGAGGCTGTGGGAAGCCTGTTGTCAGGGGACATGTGACCTGGGAGGGAAGAAAGAGCACAGGGAGGAGCCTACGCATGAAAGACAGGACACAGATGGAAGGTGGCCTTTCCCTGTTGACTCTTTGCTGGGTTATGTCCCAACACAACAAAGGACAAAGTGAAAGACTATGAAGAGCTTAATTGTGTCCCCTCCAATATTCATATTGAAAAGGGGCTGAATCCAAGTTGAGAGCCAAATCAGAAATGCAATCCCTTTCATAATTGCCACAAAAATAAAAAAATATATAGGAATACAGCTAACTAGGGAGGTGAAGGATCTCTATGAGAATTACAAAACACTACTCAAAAAATTAAAGATAACACAAACAAATGGAAAAATATTCCATGCTCATGGATAGGAAGACTCAATATCATTAAAATGGCCATACTGCCCAAAGCAATTTATAGATTCAAGGCTATTCCTATCAAACTACAAATGACATTCTTCACAGAATTAGAAAAAAGAAAACTATTTTAAAATTCATATAAACCCCAAAAAAGAGCCCAAATAGCCAAGGCAACCCTGAGAATAAAGAATAAAGCTGGAGATATCTCATTACCCAATTTCAAACTATACTACTGGGCTATAGTAACCAAAACAGCATGGTAGTGGTACAGGAACAGACACAGTGAACAATGAAACAGAACAGAGAGCCCAGAAATAAAGCCACATACCTAAAACCACCTGATCTTTGACAAATCTGCCAAGAACAAACAATGGGGGAAGGACTCTCTCTCAACAAATGGTGCTGGAATAACTTGCTAGCCATGTGCAGGAGATTGAACCTGGAGCCCTTCTTCATACCATATACAAAAATTAACTCAAGATGGATTAAATACTTAAACATAAAACCTAGAACTATTAAAAAACTCTGGAAGATAACCTAAGAAATACCACTCTAGACATAGGACCAGGCAAAGATTTCAACAACAACAAAAAAAAAACAAAAGCAATTACATCAAAACCAAAAATTGATAAATGGGTTCTAATTAAACTAAAGAGCTTCTTAGCAAAACAAGCTATCAACAGAATAAAAAAGATGACCCATAGAATGGGAGAAAATATTTGCAAACTGTGCATCTGTATTAGTCTGTTCTTGCATTGCTATAAAGAAATACCTGAGACTTGATAATTTACAGAGAAAAGAGGTTTAATTAGCTTGTGGTTATGCAGGCTGTCCAGGAAGCATGAAGCTGACATCTGCTTGGCTTTTGGGGAGTCCTCAGGAAACTTACAATCATGGTGGAAGCTGAAGGGGGACCAAGTATATCATATGGCAAAAGCAGGAGCAAGAGTAGGAGGTGCCACATACCTTTAAATGACCAGTCTCAAGAGAACTCACTCACTATTGTGAGGATAGTACCAACGGGATGATACTAAACCATTCATGAGAAATCCATTCCGATGATCTGATTACCTCCCACCACGTCCCACTTCCAACACTGGGGATTAGATTTCAATATGAAATTTGGGCAGGGACACACATCCAAACTATATCAGCATCCAACAAAGGTCTAATATCCAGAAGCTTTAAGAAACTTAAACAAATTTATGAGGAAAAAAAAATCATTAAAAAGTGGACAAAGGACATGAACAGATATTTTCAAAAGAAGACACATATGTGGCCAACAAGCATATGACAAAAAGTTCAATATCACTAATCATTAGAGAATTCAAATCAAAATTAGATGCCATCTCACACCAGTCAGAATGGCTATTATGAAAATGTCAAAAAATAGCAGATTCTAGCAAGGTTGCCAAAAAAAAAGGAACCACTTATACACTGCTGGTGGGAGTGTAAATTAGTTCAGCCACTGTGGAAAGCAGTGCAGCGATTCCTGAAAGAACTTAAAACAGAATTACCATTCGGCCCACCAATCTCATTGCTGGGTATATACCCAAAGGAATATAAATTGCTCTACCATAAAGACACATGCACGTGTATGTTCATTGCAGCACTATTTGCAAGAGCATATGCATATCAGTGATAGACTGGATACAGAAAATGTGGTACACATACACCATGGAATACTACGCAGCCATAACTAAGAAGGAGATCATGTCCTTTGCAGCAACATGGATGAAGCTGGAGGCCATAATTCTAAGTGAACTAATGCAGAAATAGAAAACCAAATGCTGCCTAGTCTTACTTATAAGGCGGAACTAAACAAGGAGAACATATGAATACTGGGAGAGGAGCAACACACACTAGGACCGACTTGAGGGTGGAGGGTGGGAGGAGGGAGAGGATCAGGAAAGATAACCTATTGGGTACTACGCTTATTACCTGGGTGACAACATTATGTGTACACCAAACCCCTGTGACACACAGTTTACCTATATAACATACCTGCACATGTACCCCTGAACCTAAAATGAGGGTTAAAAAAAAAAAGGCTGGGTGTGGTGCCTTACACATGTAATCCCAGCACTTTGGGAGGCCGAGCCGGGCAGATCTCCTGAGGTCAGGAGTTTGAGACCAGCCTGGCCAACATGGTGAAACCCTGTCTTTACTAAAAATCCAAAAAAAAAAAAAAAAAATTAGCCAGATATGGTGACACATATCTGTAGTCCCATCTACTCAGGAGGCTGAGGCTGGAGAATCATTTGAACCTTGGAGGCGGAGGTTGCAGTGAGCAGAGATTGTACCACTGCACTCCAGCCTGGGTGACATAGCAAGACTCCATCTCAAATAAATAAATAAATAAATAATAAAATTTAAAACAAGAAAGAAAAAGGGTTAAGTCCTAAGCCCCAGTACCTTAGAATGTTACTATGTTTGCAGACAAAGCCTTGAAAGAAGAAATTAAGGTAATTGAGTTTACATGGGTAGGCCCTAATCCAGCATGACTGCTGTCCTTATAGGAAGAGTAGATTATCTGTGCTCCTTGGGCGGAGCAAGATGGCCGAATAGGAACAGCTCCAGTCTCCAACTCCCAGCGCGAGCGACACAGAAGACCGGTGATTTCTGCATTTTCAACTGCGGTACTGGGTTCATCTCACTAGGGAGTGCTGGACAATAGGTGCTGGTCAGCTGCTGCAGCCCGACCAGCGAGAGCTGAAGCAGGGCGAGGCATCGCCTCACCTGGGAAGCGCAAGGGGGAAGGGAATCCCTTTTCCTAGCCAGGGGAACTGAGACACACAACACCTGGAAAATCGGGTAACTCCCATCCCAATACTGCGCTTAAAGCAAACGGGCACACCAGAAGATTATATCCCACACCTGGCCGGGAGGGTCCCACGCCCACGGAGCCTCCCTTATTGCTAGCACAGCAGTCTGCGATCTAACCGCAAGGCAGCAGCGAGGCTGGGGGAGGGGCGCCCGCCATTGCTGAGGCTTAAGTAGGTAAACAAAGCTGCTGGGAAGCTCGAACTGGGTGGAGCTCACAGCAGCTCAAGGAAACCTGCCTGTCTCTGTAGACTCCACCTCTGGAGACAGGGCACAGCTAAACAACAACAAAAGCAGCAGAAACCTCTGCAGATGCAAACGACTCTGTCTGATGCAAACCTTTCTTCCTACGTAAGCACCCCAGGGGAGCAAAAGCCATGTGCTACGGCATACCAGGAGCTGGGGTGATCGCTTTGCTTGCTCACTTAAGCAAACATCATCTCATTTTGCAGCAAGGAAATTGAGGCTCAGTATAGTTAAATAAGATGATCAAGATCAGAGATGAAATAATTGGACAAACCAAAAGTGCTGTAGTCCAAAATCCACCATGTTCCCCATGAGGCCATACTGAGGTTTCTCCTTCATAGGAAGATGGGGCTGGAAGGGCTGTTGTTGGAAAAATGGTTAAGGCCCCTCACTTGATGGATGAACCTCCAGGCCTAGAGGGAGTTTAAGGACTCATTACTCAGGGTTCCCTCAGCAAGCTAGCAGCAAAGCTTGGATGAGAACCTCGATTTCTACATCCAAAGCCTTCATTACCCCTTTTCTTTATTTAAATAATTTTGACTTTACTATATCAGCCATCATGTAAGCTAAATAGAAACAACATTTTTTAGTCTTTTTTTTTTTTACCAGTATACCTAGTGTCTATCTATAATAGCAATGAACAATTGAGATGTTTCATTTGTTGAATAAATGAACCATAAGAAAATAAGTAACAAGTAGTTCAATTATGTCCTGCAAAGAAGTTTTGATGCTCTTCCTGCCTATCCCTCCCTCTTAAGTCTCTACTTGAGACAGAGAGGGTAGATCCTTTTGTAGTTCCTAAGCATGATGCTTGAGTGTTCATGTGCATGTGTGAGATGTGCCTCCCTCAAACTTATTACAATGTGGGCACATTATCCATCCAACGTGGAAAAAAAAAGACAGAGAGGGTCCTTGGATACCCAACACCAGCCAGGACCCAAGTCCAAAAGGAAGTTCACATTATTAGACCTTTGTACCTTGTTCATTAAAAAGAATTGGTAACTATACAATAATTTGTTTCCTTTACAGATACTCTAATTAAAAAGAGACATACTAAAATATGGAAAATTCTGCTTGTTTCATCCTACTTGGCTTTAGAATGTCAATTATCCCTACTTTCAATTTCATCCATTTCCAAATATACAGCTTCTTAGAAATGTAGGGAAGCTCTTCTCTGCCTGTAAACATGAGATTTGTCAATCCTTCTATTGCTTATTATTGTATAATTGCAACATCACTTCTGAAGAAAGGACTTTCAGGACCGATAAATTTGGTCATGTCATTTTTTTTCTAGCAGCATTCTGCTTCCTTATGCATTTTCTTATTTCATACCAAGCTTGGTTTATGGGGAGTTTGGGTTAACAGAGCTCTTAAGGGTAATTAGTGTCCAATTAGTGTCCACTTAGGCCAAAGTTTCATGTCTGTGTGAGTTTTTTAACCTCTGGGAAGAATTAAGTAAGTCGGGACTCTGTTTACAAAGCAATGCTGTCTGCCCTGAGCAGTTTATGAGTAATATTCCTAGTTGCTAGATGACCAGACAAAGCAACTCAAAATTTTTTGTTGACCCTTGTGGCTGGTGAAAAGATCAAGACTGACTGCCCAGTAATCTAGATCCTTTCTTTCTGTGCTTGTTCTGTGGGAGTTTCCATAGCCTACAAGTGTCACCAAGAAACTTCATCCAGACACAAAAGGAAGGTTACAAAACTGCTTTTCGGGTGAAACGGTCATGACATTGTCCTTTCCATCATCAGCCCTACTTCAAATGACTAACCCGGAATGAAAGCCTCTCTACTAACATGCATCCATACCTGATTTGTTTCTCCCAATTTTGCATTATAAAAATTTTCAAAAATACAGAAAAGGTAAAATATAAAAGAATAACATAATAAACATTTTTATATTCACTACTTAGTTTCAACAACTGTTGACATTTTGCTGAGCTATTTGAAAATGAGTTGCACTTTATCTAGTATTTCTGCATGGGTCTCTTGAGAATAAACACATTCCAATACAAGCAAGGTAACATTATGACAGAGGATTCATCCATTTCATTTAGGTTGTTGAAGTTATTGGAACTAAGCAGCTCATAATATTTCCTATGATCCTTTTAAAGTCTATAGGATCTGTAGTGATGCTCCTCTTTTATTCCTAATGTGGTCATTTGTGTCTTCTTTCTTTTTTTCTGGATAAGTCTAGTGAGAGTTTTATCAATTTTATTGATTTTTTTTTTAAAACAACCAGCTGCAGGATTCATTCATGTTACTATCATTATCATTATCATCATCATCATTATTATATTTTAGTTTTTATTTCATTTATTTTTACTTTTATGTTTATTGTGTCTTCTTTCTATTGAGGGTTTAATTTTCTTTCTGTGTTTTCTACATCTTAAGATGAAAATTTAGATTTTTAAAATCTGTATCCCGCACATTTTGATATGTTGTGCTGTAATTTTTAATTAATTCAAACAATGAATTTCATACTTCAAACAATGAGAATATCATGAATAAACTTGCATTAAATGAGCAATTCTTTCTGTGAAATTCAAGTAAATCTCTTATAGCCTTTTTGAGATATAACTAACACACCATGAAATTCACCTTTTTAAAGTGTACGAGTCAGTGATTTTGAGTATATTCACAAAGTTGTACAATTACCAACATTATCTAATTTTATAACATTTTCATCACCCCAAAAAGAAACACCATACCTATTAGTGGCCACTTCCCATTGCCCCCTCCTCCACAATCCCCTGTCAAGCACAAATCTGATTTCTATCTCTATAGATTTACCTATTCTGGACACTTAATATAAATTGAATCATGTAATACGTGGTCTTTTGTGACTGGCTCTTTTCACTTAGCATCATGTTTCCAAGATTCACTCATGCTCAACATGAACCAGTACTTCATTTATTTTTATTGCTAAATAATATTTCAGTTAATAAATATACCACATTTTATTTATCCATTTATTAGTTGATGGATATTTGGGCTGTTTCCACTTATTTGCTATTATGAATAATGCTACTATGAACAATAATGTGTGAATTTTTGTGTGGATGCATGTTTTTAGTATTCTTGGAGAAGAATTGCTGAATTATATGGTAACTCTATGTTTAACTTTTGGAAGAACTCCTAAACTGTTTTCCAAATTGACTGCACTCTTTTATTCCCATCAGCAGTGAATGAGAGTTCCAATTTCACCATATCCTTGACAACATTTATTATTGTCTGCCTTTTCTTTTTGAGCTATTCTAGTGGGTGTAAAGTGATATCTCGTGGTTTCCATTTTCTGACAGGCTAATGATGTTGAACATCTTTCATGTGCTTATTGATCATTAGTATTTCTTCTTTGTAGTAATGTCTGTTCAAATGATTTGTCTGCTTTTAATTGGGTTGTCTTTTTATTGCTGCGTTGCAAGTGGTATCATTTATATATTCTGGATACAAATCCCTTATCCGATATGTGATTTTTTAAATATGTTGTCCCATTTAGTTTTGGTGAAGTTCCATTCACTGATTTTGTTTTGTTTTGTCCCTTGTGTTTTTGGTGTTATATCTTTAAAAGCTATTGCCTAACTTAAAATCACAAATATTTACTCTTGTATTTTCTTCTAAAAGTTTTATAGTTTTAATTTTTACCTCTAGGTCTTGGGTATATTTTCAGGGATGTTTTCAATGTATGGAGTGAAGAAGTAGTCCTCCATCATTCTTTTGAACATAGACATCCAGTTGTTCTAGCACCATTTGTTGAAGTCATGCATCATTTTTGTCTAGAAAAAAAATTTCCAGCATGTAAATGAGTGACTTCCAGATTTTATAAAATCATAGGACATTACCTCTAGAATTCTGCTTATAGGTAACTTATTCCAAATATCCTTAAACAGGTCAGTTAATTTACCCAAAACTATCCCTGCATCAATTCTGTTCCCAACTCATGTACCCAGAATCTGTGCCAGCTTAGAAACCATGTGGCTCATCTTCTACTGCGTTGGTGGTCAGAATCCACTTCTCCTTTTTTCCCCCACACACTTGTATTTTCACTCAAGACTAAAATTCTCAAAAATCTAGTGGGTATGGTGAGTTGTGGTGTGGAAGGTTTGGAGAGAGATTGCTGGTGACACATTTCATTTAAGAAAATAAAGTTTTGTGGAGGAAGATGCAGAAAGGAGGAGCCCTAGAGTTGGTATAAGAAGGGACTACAATTTTAAAAAAAACTTTCTTTAGGATAGACTCCCAGAAAATCAGTGACATGATGAGAGACCCACTCATTTACAGTGAAGCCACCATGGATAAAGGCCTTCTGGACCTTGGATTTGAGATGTGGGTATTCCATCCAGCACTGAGATTGTTTAGTGCAGCAGATTTTTCACTGGCTCATTCTGCTGCCATTCTCACTTCCTTCTACTGAACCTTCTAGTATAACAGATGCCAGGAGACTAAAAACCCTACTTAGCAGAGCCAAGATTTTACATGTGGCTTAGATTCTGCCAAGGAGATGTCCACATGAGACCAGGAGGGTGTGAGCAATGGGAGCCAGTGGCTATGGTTCGTGATAGATACGTTGATTCTCTCGGTGCAGTTCTGGAAGTTTCTGAAGTCTGATTCCCAGAAACTTAGGTACTGAGCAGTAGGCAGCAGCAACAGAAACAGTTCCATAGGTGGTTGGGCATTTCCTTTGATTGCTGTATTTTTGATTATGTGATAATTAAACCTTAGGCCCTGAGCCTCACTGAGATTCTGTAAGGTTCATCATTCCATCTGATACATCACTTTCTTCTCAGATCAAATAGAGTGCATTCTGCTTTCTTCCACTATGAGCCTTGACCAATATAACCAGTGATCTCATCAACTATGGAAGGGCAATTAACACATTTTTCTCTAGTGTCAAGTCTAGATAAATATTCCTTTTGTGAAGAATTAATCTGAAAGAAAAAAATCAATATAGTCCTGATTTGAATAAAAGATTCAAAAAGTTGAAAGAATCAGTATCCCTGAAGACTAAGCACAGAGACTTTTCAAAATTATTTATAGAAAAACCAGAAATAAATTATTTTGAAAAATTTTCCATTCTCAACAGAATACAAGAAGGCAATGCTTCCACGCAATAAGATCAGTGAATCAAGCTGTGATCAAAGAGAAGCAGTTATGAGATTCAAAAACATGACGATGAGCCAAGACCATAAGGAGATAAAAAGGTTCTGTAATTTTATGCTATAACACAAACTTTGCAAGGTTATGGCACCCAGATATTTGGTCAAACACTAGTCTGGATGTTGCTGTGAAGATAGCTTTTGGGTAAGATTAACAATGAAATCAGGGGATGTTAAGTAAAGCAGTTTATCTTCTATAACATGGGTGAGCATCCTCTTATCAGTTGAAGGCCTTAAGAGAAAAAGATGGAGGTTCCCCAACCAAGGAAGAAGGAATTCTACCTGCCATCTGCTTTTGAACCAGAGCTGCAACATTAACTCTTCCTGGGTCTTCAGCCTGCTGGCCTACTATGCAGATTTTAGACTTGGCAGTTTCCAAGGTAACATGAGCCAATGTCTTTAAATAAGTCTCTTTCTCTCTTTCTCTCTTTCCATCTCTCTCTCCTCTACACCCACACCCACACACCCTATTGGCTCTGTTTTTCTAGAGAACCATCACTAATAAAAACAGCATATAGTTTAGTCTTATATTTTTGTACAGTCTGATCATTTCTACCTTTTAGTTTAAATGTTTACTCCATCTACATTTATGTAATTAATTATCTGATGAGGTTTATGCCTATCAAGTTCTTATTTGCTTTCTATTTGTCTCATCTGTTTATTATTCTGCTTTCTCCAATCTGCTCTTAAGGAAAATAATTGAATTTTTCACCTCAGACATTTTGATTTTT